AGCTGTAAATAAACAATTATAAACACAGAATCAACAAAAACATCTGCGACACGCACCTGGCTACATTTCACAAGTAAATCTGATCGAGGGTGGGGAAATTTGAAATATCTGGAAGGCAAGACAATTTTGTGACGGTCATGAAATGCTGCAACAGCAACATGCACAGAATGACCTGCGTATAAAAAAAGTATCACCACCACTAACCACATGTTTCCCCAGCAGAATTATAATGCTACAATAGTGCCATTTTCTGCAAGAAAAGGCTTGCACATCAATGCGTATAATACGGTATTGATATGATATGAAGGCCATCATTTACATAAGGGCATTCCATTGATTGGTGACAGAAAAAAACAAAAGAAATTATAGCAATAAAAACTGCTTTATGGCAGCTTTCTAAAAAAGTTATTGTGTTCTAGTCCTGGGTCCGGCATAGGCTATGGAAAATTTATAAAATTGCTTCCAAACTGGCTTGGACTCCGTCTAAAAAGTAAGAAATTAACGAAATGTGATTGCCGAAAATTAAAATTTCATTGAAAACCTCACAATAATCACACACAGGATGAAAAGCTAGAAGACCTTTTCCCTTCGTGATCCTCTTTCCCATGCGCATGCGTGTTGGTGCAGTACAAGTACAGTGTCAGACTAAACAAGTGTTGAAAGCAGCATTTAATAATAATGATATCTTTATTAGGATGACCCAGAGGCTTGTCGCCTATTTGATTGTCAAGTGTTGTGATTATTGTGAGGTTTTGTGTGAAATTTTAATTTTCGGCAATCACATTTCGTTAATTTCTTACTTTTTAGACGGAGTCCAAGCCAGTTTGGAAGCAATTTTAGAAGCAATTAAATTTTCTATAGCCTATGCCGGACCCAGGACTAGAACACAATAACTTTTTTAGAAAGCTGCCATAAAGCAGTTTTTATTGCTATAATCACTTCGGCTACTGCTGTGGCTACTGCTGTGGCTACTACTGTGGCTACTACTGTGGTACTGTGGCTACTGCTGTGGCTACTGCTGTGGCTACTGCTGTGGCTACTGCTGTGGCTACTGCTGTGGCTACTGCTGTGGCTACTGCTATGGCTACTACTGTGGCTACTGCTGTGGCTACTGCTATGGCTACTACTGTGGTACTGTGGCTACTGCTGTGGCTACTGGGCAGGGCGCCCAGCTCAGGTCGCACGCCGTAGCGGCGTGAGCTGGGCGCGGTGAGGGTTGGTGATAACCACATACAGTTTCCTCCTTCCTCCTCCGGAAACTAACTTCCATTTTTGCCCTTTAATTATGTCCCTCGTACTCGTAGCTCGTGCACGTGCACGTGCACGTGGCGCACTAGGCCTAGGTGGCGCACTCGTGAAATAATTACTCGTAGATCTACGAACAAGAGAATAACTGGGGGGACTAATGACAGAATTATTTAGAAAAGCGATCCTGTCAGCTTTTCTATTATTGTGTTCACATGGCGCTACCTAACGACACCGCTATTCAGACACGTTGTCTACGTAGCTACGTAAGTTTCTACGTAAGATGCTCGGTACCTGGTCCTGGACCAGGGAGCTACTCCATGGCTCCTACCATCGCGCGGCCGGCTGGCCGCATGCGCGTATTTAGAAAAGCGATCCTGTCAGCTTTTCTATTATTGTGTTCACATGGCAAGAAAAACGACACCGCTATGCTACGTAAGTTTCTACGTAAGGTGCTCGGTATTTCAGTTAGGCTACGTAAGTCTCTACGTAAGGTGCTCGGTATTAGATCTACCAACGGGTGGTAGCCGCGTTCGGTGCACGTGCACGGCAGACATTGTGTTGCAGTGCAGTCCGTGTTCGAACGTTCGGATGTGCATGCGCGAGGAACTTCCTTCTTTGGAACTGCTTCTTGTATGAGCTGTTTCGGATATTTCGTCTCCTGGCCTGGCTTATTTCGTTTCGGCGCTGCTGAGACCTCCTTTCGCGGAATATTACTCAATGACAGGTGAGTTGACCAGTTCCCTTTGATTCATTTGCTTGTGTTGACTCTTTCATTTACGAAAAGTGTGCTGATTTTGGGCGGAATGCAATAAAATAAATAAAGGAAAGCTGACAGGATCTCTTTGTTTCCTTCGATTCATTTGCTTATGCTCACCCTTTCATTTACGGAAACGTGTGCTGATTTTATTCGGATTTAGATCCATTCTTATCTCTTTGCCCTTGTCTACAGTGTGCGAAGAACGCGGGTTCACCTTCTGGACGGTAAGGCTTATGTTAGATGTGTTGTCGAAATACTCATATTCATTGTTGTTGTTGTTGTTGTTGTTTATTTATTTTACATCGCATAGCAAACGGGCAGTTCTGCCCAATATTATGAAAGCGATGACAACCAGTAAGAAGAGTCAGAAATGAAGAGAAAATAAATGAAAATAAAAATACGAAAACGGAAGTAGCAATGAGGGGAGGCAGGGTCAAGACGAGCAGAAAAAAATGGATCTCAAATTTACAAGTCGGGTCATCGTAGCATGATTCTATCGAGTCTCATCAGCAGGTTACGAAAGCCATTACATTTAACCGAAGTAGAATACGCGTAGCATGCGTTTGAATTCACGGACAGATACTATGGACTTCATGCAGTCGGGCAGGCCATTCCAGAGTCGGCAGCTGGCTAGAAGCGGTCGGCATGCGCCAGAAGCACTGTGGGCCAGGGGGAGGGGAAGGTTGCGTCCCAATTGACCTCGAGTGGTCATGCCTGTCGGCGGGCCTTGCAATACAATTCGGGACGACAACAGCTCACTGACGATTCCAGAACGGATTCTAAATGTCAGGAGTCGGAGCTTGCATTCCCCTCGTTCCAGCACTGTACATTGCAAATATTGGTACGTTACTAGTAAGGCACTAGTCAGTGGCATACTATCGTTGGCAGTTCCCAATCTGGAGGGAAAGGTTCAAGGACCCATTGACCGAGTTTGCAAAATATATTCGCATATCAGGGAAAATCTCTATTGTGGAGAGGATCAGTAACTTGTTTGCTTCATACGAAACAAGCCAACGGGTGCAGTCTCGTCTCGTGAAGATCTTGTACTTGTATGATTGGATTTGTTTACTCGAGTCTGGGCTGTTTGATTCAATTATTTGTGAGTACCGCCGAGATTGCACTGCCCCAAATAAAGTTTCGTGCCGCCAAAGCAAGAATTACGATCTGCAATCTGTTTGTAGTACATGTACCTGCAAGAATGTGCTGTACATGTATCGTACTTTCTCTGTTGCTGTTTCAGTTGCCGTCATGTTTCTAAAGAAAGGTTCAGTAGAGAGGTTCTGCAAAACGAAAATTCGAACGAAGTTTCGCGACAGTCCTTGCGAAAGTGTGTACGAATTTTTGCACGAATTGCGCGTTCTGCACATTTTCGTAGTTTGCACGGGCCAAGTGCACGTACGCCATGACCCGATCTCACGAATTTTCCTACGACAGTTCATTTCGCGTTCCCTACAAGTTTCGCGTCCAAAGTTGCGAAAGTTCTATCGAAGTTTCGCACTTCATAACGTAGAACGAAAGTTTGTACGCATTTTCGTTTTGCAGAACCTCTCTATTGTAGTGACTCATTTGTTTCATATGAGACGAGTCAATGAGTTGGTGTGGCTTAGAATCATCTTTCGCTGTAGAAGAAATCTATTCGTATGTCTATTGGAGAAATAATTGTATTCACTGGTTATAGAATAAATACCATCGGTCCCTTGGTGTTCGTCCTAAAGAGGTTCGACTGGATATCATTCATACTCACCAAAAGATGTGTAAGATTTTATTATTATGGAGTGCCTTGTTTATCTCTCAGTACCTCCAACCATAGCCTTGCCCCTTTAATCCTCAGGATCAGTGTCGTTGTCGGAAGGAGGTGTCGGACTCAGCAATGTATTTGTTTACATTTTAATACATGTTTATTGTTCCTCTTTTGCTGTGTTGTTTTAGAAAATCGTGGACTAACAGATTGAAGTCATTGAACTACTTCCAAAAGTTGTATCGACATCAACAGGATTACGATTTCAGTGCAATATGATGCAGGATGACCTTATCACGAAAACCCATGATTATAAACCATTATAAACACAGAATCAACAAAAACATCTGCGACACGCACTTGGTTACATTTCTCAAATAAATCTGATCGAGGGTTGGGAGATCTGAAATATCTGAAAGGCAAGACAATTTTATGACAGAGTCATGAAATTCTGCTACAGCAACATGCACAGAATGACCTCCGTATAAAAAACGTATCACCACGGTCCACCACTACGTACTCACATGTTTCCCCGCAGAAGAACATGCATTTTGCCATTTTCTGCAAGAAAAGGCTTGCACATCAATGCGTATAATACGGTATTGATCTCTTGATATGATGTGAAGGCCATCATTTAGTTTAAATTTACATATTGATATACTAGTAGGGCATTCCATTGATTGGTGACAGAAAAAACAAAAGAAATTATAGCAATAAAACTGCTTTATGGCAGTTTTCTAAAAAAAAGTTATTGTGTTCTAGTCCATGGACCCCGTCTAAAAAGTAAGAAATTAACGAAATGTGATAGCCGAAAATTAAAATTTTACACAAAACCTCACAATAATCACACACAGAATGAAAAGCTACATGTACTCGTAGAAGACCTTTTCCCCTCGTGATCCTCTTTCCTATGCATGCATGACATGCATGTTGCCAATTGTTGGTGCAGTACAAGTTTAGTGTTGAAAGCAGCATATCAAGTGTTGTGATTATTGTGAGGTTTTGTGTGAAATTTGAATTTTCGGCTATCACATTTCGTTAATTTCTTACTTTTTAGACGGGGTCCATGGACTAGAACACAATAACTTTTTTTTAGAAAACTGCCATAAAGCAGTTTTATTGCTATAATGTACTTTTGCCTTGGTACGAATCGTACTCAAACTCGCAGCTAGCTGGCTCGCCGACTTTATAATAAATAAAAATTAATAATTATTAGTAATAGACCGATCCCCTTATTATACTGGGTTCGAGCACGGGGGCAACCTCACTCGCGATCGAGCTAGTTTTTGAACGTGACAGCATCTTTGACAGTGTGTTTCAGGTTTGTTTTGGAATGTCTTCTGCTTAGTTCAAGTAGTTTGCGATGGCTTTGAGCGGTGCTGAACCTCCTGCTGGTAGGAGCAGAGTCTCCGAGAGAGACATGGACTGTGATGCAGCTGCAGGATTTTTTCAAGGCGCGGGAGGGAACGATCTCGGGCCACAAACAGGAGTAACTCCAGAGGTGAGTTTTTTTGTTGTTGAAATATTCGAATCGCGAATCGTGTTGTGAGATTTATTTTGTGCCTAGGCAGACCGTATTTCTTTCTCCTTGAGATCGGTGCTGAAGATAATAGTAACCTTTTTCTGGTCTGCCTTTTCCTCTCCAGAGCCATCTTCTATGAAGGTAACCGTGGTGCTGCCAAGTCACCAAGTCGCGATCGCGATCAGCAGCCCTGAAGTGGAAAAATCGATTTTCCAACGATCTGGTTGGACATCAGCCACTAAAGTACTTCTGATTTGCCTGTAGTGACAACAGCAGCCATCCTTGGACACCTTGCAAAGACAGGAAACGCCACTTGTGGAAGCGACTGCTATGAGGTGACGATAGCAGTGGTGATCGCTATTTTGTCAAGTCGAAGGGCTAGCCAACCCAGAGGAAGCATTAAAAAAACGATGAGCAGTGCGTGGTGTTTGTTGAGCGTGAAGAGCTAGAGGAGGACAGTGCTTACACATGGAAGGAGTGGATGGTGTTTGAAGAACAGTGTGCTGTGTGCCGGCTGGTGGTTTTTGTCAGCATGTATTCGTGCTGCTTCTTGTGCTGGAACACTTCTCGCCCAGGAAGGCAGATTGCGTGCTCCCTGGCCCTCAGTCGGCAATGGGGCATTTATTCCAGGAACATTACCCCGGAGCCAGTGATGAGTCGTACCTTTGAAAAGTCGAATCTTGCTGTTAATCGCAAGCGTAGCGCAGTGGATTGCTCCCTCTTCGAAGCACGAGGGTCAAAGCTTGCCGCTGTCTGCAACGAAGTGTGTGTGCGGTTCTTTCGAACCTATGAATATACCCCTCCCCTCTCTCTCTTAGGAAGACTGCATGTTCAGAGTGAACTATTTTCTAGTATATTTGATGTGAGACGGGCTGTTTACGCCCAAGATGAAGATACAGTTTTTTTCTGTTTCTATACGTTCCTAATAAAATACATTGTGACAGAGCTTTCGGTCATACTCCGCTGTACTACATCCTCAATCCGCCACCACCATGCGCTCTTGGCCGAACTAATGCACGAAGCATAAACACACCAGCACAGCAAGGACACTTCCATTGACAGATATTGTTTACGCCTCTAGACAGCTGTTTCGTTTCTTCGAGCTCATCGTTAGAGGAGGATAGTAGCGGGATACTAATGATGATATAATATAAGATGATAGACGGTTTATGGTCGGATATTGATGATTCGAGATCTAAGAAAGCAATGACAGTGATTGCGAAATGGATAATACTATCATGATTATATGCCAGTCTGGTAATGCGTTGTACTGGTGGACAGTATTGAAATCATCACTGCATTCGATGCAAATATTGAAAGAGTAAGAGAACCTGGTTCATTTGGTTGCATCTGCGACTGGCTACCGGGTGTTGTGATCAGCAATGTTACCATGAGAGAAAATAAGAGCGCAAGGATCTGTTGGGTCTTGTTGTGCCGTGCCGGTGCGAGAACCCTAAGTGCATTGCAAAATAGAACTGTTTCATCCACAATGCAGAATGTCTTGCGGTACATGGCATTGATGACTGAACATCTCGCCAGCTCGCCCAAATGGGGATCATGCCCAAACGGAGGAACAAGAAATCTTTCCAGCTCAGCTAGTTATATACCGTGAAACGGATGATTAACTTGTGCCACGCATGCCAGCTTCTGTTCCATTCGGCCCAGGCTTAGACACGTCAATGCCAATAGCAGCTGAGCCTCCATTACATGCTCATTGGCGATTTACGGCCACCTCCAACTGTATCCGCCGTCCCTCAGCTTCCGTCTTCGCAGATCTGGCGCGGCGCAGTACATTTTCTCGGCTAGGCTCAAAGAAGTCCCACAGAGCGGTCCAAACACCTGAAGGCAAACCAGTCAGAAACTGGAGCGGCTCAGAGTCTTTCTTTATGTTATTGTACGTAAGCTGTTTTTCGGCTTTCTTCACCCCAGTCCTCACATCGTCCAACTGCTCCACGAGACTCTGTACACGAGCTCTACTTGCTGCCTGCTCCTGATGCAGATGCTGCACTTCCATTACAGGACCAAGCTGCACTAAGCCAGGTTCCTTTCCAACTCAAAGTACCGTTGCCTCTCAGCAAAATACTGGTTTGGGAGCATGGGGAGCTCGTGATGCAGACGCTGCACTACCATGACCGAACTGCACTAGGCTCAGCAAATACTGTTTTGCGAGCATGGGGAGCAGGGCGTCCAGACTCCACTCTCTTGCGAAAAGCAAACCTGGTACCGTAGGACAGCTGTTTGGGTTCCTGGACTCATCCTGCCCTTGTAGAGCTGGGCAAAACGATTTCGATTTCGGGATCGAAATGATCGCTGCAACTCAAATATTCAGAGTGACCCTAAAACTACGTCCTTCCTCACGGGGCATAGCCTGGATCCGCTTGCTCCAGGTCGCTGTGGCTCCACACGACGAAAAGAGTGAAATGACTTGTTTGCTTCGTCCTCCTGTTCTGACAGTGAGGAACGCAGCAATGATCCTGAGAAGGCATCCTGAAGTCGTAAAAAGGAAGACGTCTAAACAAAAACAAAACAGCTCAAATCAAAAGTCCTTGTGACATTTTTTGTAGACAGGCTTGCACTGCATGTAGATTTCGCGTGCTCTGCACTTCGCATGCGAGAAGTCACGCACAGCCGAGGTGAGGTTGGTCGCGTGTGTGCAGCAGGATCCCACGCGACTGCGGAGTTGCCCCCTTGCTCGAACCCAGACAATAATAAGGGGATCGGTCTATTTAGTATGTTTTGTTGCTCTACAAGCCTTCCCTCTAGTCCTCTTGATATCAGGCTCTTCTTAGAGTAAAGACAAGTTTTTCCTGCTCTAATCAGTAGCTCAGAGCTACACCAAGATGAACGTGACGGTGAAAGGCCACGCGCATCGGCGCGTGCAACAAATAACCAGGCTCCGAATTAGCTGCAGCTGCTGAGAACTTGACTGGACGAAGCCTGCCATGGCGTGGACAAATTCCTTTCTACGCAGTGCCTGGACCCAGCTGAAAAACTGGCGACTGCGCAAATCATGGGCATTGGTGTTGGTGGTTGCACTCGTGCTGACTTCGCTGGCGTTCAGGATCAGAAATGTGGTTTTAAGTCCAGCACCCTCCCACCCTCCTCTGACCAGCGATATTGTAGCTCTACATGAAATACTGAGGCCACCACGCTCCTACCCTCCTACGCTCAGTAGATCTACTACTACTACTACCTCCGATACTGGTAGTGCCAGGATTACAGGCACAACTGACGACCACAGCAACACAGTGCAACATCCTGTCCCCGACATAACGGGTGGTAACATAGTAATCAGTGGCAGTAGCAGCAATAATGCTAGTGCCAGCTGCCGACGCATTCTGTTGATTGTGATTTTCAACCACTACTTCCCGGGCAATATTGCCATACTGGAGGGAATGTACGGCGACGGCTTTGCCAGCATAGTGTTCTATGCGGACGCAGCGGACACAGACCGCGGCGTGCACGGTGTGGACATGTCCAGGGGGTTCTACCAGCAGCGCGCGATAAGCCACGCCATCCGCACGCACCCTGACTTTGACGGCTACGTGTGGCTGGGCGACGACGTCCTGATGAATCACTACCGGCTGCTGGCGCTGGTCAACCAGCACAAGCTAGTGCTGGCCGGGCCCGACGTGGAGAAGTACTGTGTGCACAACGTCACGCGACCGGAGTGCGACCGCAAGAACAGTTCGCACTGGAACGAGCCGGAGGGGCGCGTGGTGGCCGTTCAGATCATGCGCGACCTGCCCGCCGCCTACGGGTGGCATCTGGATGCGTCCCTGGGATGCAGTAGCTGCCTGCGTAAGGGCGTGTCTGACTCTGGCTACATACCACGTGGGCGGTGCTCTGAATTTCTGATGCTGGCCCACATCTTCAGGGACATCTTCTTTGAGTACGCGATCCCGAGCATCTTCATGCTGATGTCGGCGGGAATCGATAACATCATGATCGCACCGGCCTACTATTCCTGGTCGGCCGACGCTCAGGAGCGCTTCAGGGACGTGGAGACGCATGTGCGGAGTAGCGCCGATCTCGTGTTCGCGCATCCGATCAAGCTTCACAGCCAGGCTCAGCGCCAGATGGCTCTAGACTGGCTGGCCGTCCGGAAACGTGCGAGCGGATGGAAAAGAAGCAGGCGGCGGTCGCGAAGAAAACACTCGCATGTCACGGACGCACTGTGTGTGAAATTCTAGGGCACTGCGGTGCGTTCTGACTGGTCGTATCCTTGACTACGACCTTGTGACGTTCGTGAATAGTATGGCAGTGAACATAGTATCCACTCCATGTGTTTCTGGCTGCACCAGCAATCTGGTGGCTATGGTGACCATGGTAGCTATGGTGACCATGCTGCACAAGTGAACTGGAAAAGGTAAAGAGGGCGCTTTCAACTACTCAAGAAATTGACTTCATTATTCTTATTTCAACTCGTGTATTCTTATTTATTCTGATTTATTCCGTTTAACCAACCGAACCAGATGTTTTTGATGTTTTTTTAGCCGCCTAGGCAAAATTGAACATGTATTATTGTTTTAAAATCAGAACATGTGAGCAGTGCACACAATATTAGTACTAGTATTAGTAGTGCAAGCAAGTAGCGCACATCATTAGGCGGAGGAAAAGAAAATACATGCATTAGACCATCACTGGGTTGAGCTGCTTTTGTCTGTGCCTGTGTGTGTGTGTGTGTGTGTGTGTGGTGTGTGTGTGTGTGTGTGTACATGTGTGTGTGTACATGTATGTGTGTACATGTATGTGTGTGTGTGTGTGTGTGTGTGTGTGTGTGTGTGTGCGCGCGCATGCGGTAGAGCGTTTAGGAGAAGTGGCGATTTGAAGCGTCACATCAAGTACTGCCCAACTCAGTAGCCTATCATCTTCACTGGAGATGGGTCGTCAAAGGTCAAGGTGTGTGTGTGTGTGTGTGTGTGTGTGTGTGTGTGTGTGTGTGTGTGTGTGTGTGTGTGTGTGTACATGTGTGTGTGTGTGTGTGTGTGTGTGTGTGTGTGTGTGTGTGTGTGTGTGTGTGTGTGTGTGTGTGGTGGTGGTGTGTGTGTGTGTGTGTGTACATGTGTGTGTGTGTGTGCATGTGTGTGTGTGTGTGTGTGTGCATGTGTGTGTGACTCTGTGTGTGTGCATGTGTGTGACTTGCTACAACTACCTTGGTCTACGTGTGAAGGATCACAGTTCAATGGCACTTGCGAGTGTGTATTGTTGCTACTGCTGTTGTTTAGACTGGATATGCGGCTAATATTAATAATAATAATAATAATAATAACTATTAATAAGCATAGCTCGCATCTTCCCTGAACCTGTTAGACAAGAGCAGAGTCGACGCATCTGTCAACAGTGTCAAGCCAAGTTAGTCTATCTCCTGCAGCTTGGAGAGCGCTCTCCACGGAGAGATCCGCTGCCTTCAGGTCTTGCCAAATCGTATCTATCCACCGCAATGGTGGACGGTCACGGTTTTTTTATGTCGTTTGTATTGATTGATAACTCCAGTGCTTGGAACGAGGCGGATTCTGGACCCTCTCGCACCACATGGCCAAACCACAGCAGCCTGCGTCTCCAGCATGTGGCACTATTTGGAGATTGGTTTGTTTCTGTGTAAAGTTGTTATTGGTGATGCGTTGCGGGTAGACAATCTGCAGTAGTACGCGTAGCTTCCTCCGTTGCCATTTGTCTAATATGCGCATAATTTATTTTAATTTGTAGAGCAAGCCATGGATCGACAAATCGTCACCACTAGTGAATCGCATAAAGTTGAACTATAAACCCGGATTTTATACGACTCCCTGGCCGCCATTATCAGTACACTTTACAAGTTTGCACCGCAGATACATGTACTCTGGAGCTCCCTAAACCTCACCACCACTGCCACGATTCAGGTTGTGCGTGCTTCCCCTAGCTGCATCTCATGTTTGGCATTTAAGTGGTTTTGTAAAAATAAAA